AATCATTAATATATATAATCATAATCATAAACCCGTATTTACCTTTCGGTGTACGGGGACAGAATACACAATAATTGACATCTAATATTAATAACTGTAATTGTACACAAAATCAGCCCATGCTTTTTTATTCCTTGCAGTTTCCTTTGCTTCACTCCAGGTTAATCCTCTTTTTTTGAATATTTCTCCGATTTTCTCGTCCCAGGTTTTTTTTGGTCGTCCTCTTCGTTTCTGGCCTAGCGGTTTTGCTATCCATATTTGTTTCACAGGTGCTTGGTTTCCCATTCTTTGCAGATGGCCCCACCAACCTAGCTGTTTGCTTTCGATGTAGTCATTAATACATAAATAAACTACCTTCTAAACATGTTTGCCAATTCCTTAAGTAAAAAATATTAAAAACTTAAAGCGCTCATTTTAAACTGTCTGCAGTTCTTTTTGATCACCCGATATACGAATATGATATTTCGTAATAGTTTCCTCGTTTTTCCAGCTCTATTAAAAATTTTCAATGGGATTACGAAAAATCTTCAACGGCACACGGCCTGCAGCATTGTACCAAATTCCGAACTTCAACCCTTTCCGATATGTGTGCTACATAAAGACGTGACGTTAATAATGACATCGACGTAGTGTTGAATAGTAAAGTTGTTGAAAAAACAGCTATGACGATGTACACATATAAAAGATCTAATCTGTATGAGCTTGTCAACAAACACTTTCGATTAGGATATGCTGTCACCTGAACGTTTACTACAGTTTCTTTGTGCATTTTTTTTCTGTCGTCGCATAGAATCTGTATCCGTTATCACCACTTTTTTGGAACCAAAAATCTTTTTTTGAAGAAGATGTAACTACTCTACTACTAAATAATGTGGTACCACAAACCAAAACAAATCGTTGGTTATGGCAGCATGCGGCTAGTCGTTCGTACTTTCTTGATTATACAAGTTAGTAATAGTTGCTCACTCAGTATTGTAACCAAGATTATAGCAGAACATTATGTAATAATCGCCAATAAATAACCAAATCATT